TATTTTGTAATGTATTTTAAATTTTATTTCATAATGAAAAGTGCAGATAGACGGTAGTGAATATAAGCCCTCGATATACATGCGGATATATGTAAGTATATGATCTGTGAACATTTCTCTTGTAAACAATTTCTGAGTGCTCAGAATTTTTTTTAATAATCAGAATTATAAAGAATATTTGTTTTTGAGACTCAGAAAAACGTCTTATTTTAGATTCTAATATGACTCCGAACTTGGACACGTATTGGACGCCCTTCTAAGAAGGGAAATACGCTCTGTTCTGACTCTGTTTTGAGCGCATAAAGAGGGTAACTACTCAGAGTTCTGAGACTTTTCTGACTTCAAAATGAGTCCGAATGTTTATAGGGCGATTCAAACAATTTTCTGAAAGCTCAGAATTTATGACTCGAAATTGAGTCTTTATTTCGTCAAAAATTCGACAAAAATATGATTCTTAGACCAACCATCCATACTGGCTCATTTCGGACTCTTTTGGTGTCATAAGTACTGAGTAGAATAAAAGTAACAAAGTTCACGCAGATGTAAAACTTTATTAACAATCATAATTATAAATAATGTGCATTTGTTTTTAAGACTCAGAAAGCGTAATATTTCAGATTGTAATATGACTCATATTGGCGTCCCTTCTAAGAAGGGACTTCTGACACTTTTTGAGCTCATAATGAAGGTTATAACTAAAAATTCGGAGACTTTTCTGACTCTAAAATGAGTCCTAATGATTATAGGGTTCAAGCACATACTTATTAAAAAAGTGATATTTATTTTTTGAAATTCTAAATTTTTGAAGATTGCTGTTCTCTTTCTACTTAAGTGTTATTATAACCTACCGAAATTCCTTTTGAACTACCAGCCTACCAAGAAGAAAAGTCCTACCAAATTTTGGTAGGAAAATCCCAATAACGGCAACACTGCCACTAAAGTCGAAACTGAGGGTATCTTGTTATGAGAATTTTAGCTAAAAAAACCGGATTCTGAAGTACGTTGGTAACAAGCTTTTCGTGGAAAAGGATGAGAGATCGTCTGTAGACTGTTTTAGTGGTTTAGCTGGAAAATATTTCGTATAATATTTAATGTAAGAATGATAAATACGTTGACCAGAAAGGTAAAGGCTATCTACCATTTCGCACGTTTAATGATATACATACATAAGTAAAGAATGATTTCAAAATTTAAATTTTGTGGGAAAACGCAATCAATGTTTCATCAATTCATTCAGTGGGTATACTTCTCTATATTATTAAACTTTCGATTTGTCTAAGTGATAAACTTTCAAATAATTGTTTGCTTTTATTTATTGCATCGTATCTCCAACTTTCTTCTGGACGAACTGTTTTTTTTTTTTTTATTAACACTAACTGGGCGTTGGCTCTGCGGCGGACACGGACGTCGTTTTTTAACAGAAATTCATGGTTATTTCGTAGAACTTAACGCGATGTATCTGATGGACCATTTACATAGTTGATTAAACTTGTTCGTCTAAGCGCACTTTTCGAATTTGAATCAAAGTCAGATATCATTGGTAATAATCAATGAACAGCAAATATTTCCTTATCTCTTCAAATTTGTTTTTCAACATGTCGTGAGTTTTATGTCTAAAATTGTATTTACTATATCGTAAACACTATATAGTGTTTGGGCAACTGAAAATCGGCATGCAATTCAAAACTCCTTTTTATCGGCGAACTCCGTGTTTAACATCTTCACTAAAAGCTCGATTCCATGTAAAAATGTTTTTTTGGTTACGAATAGTTTTAACAAAAAATCATCAAAATATAATGTTCAAGTATTTTCCAAAAAAATTCCGAGTCGATTGAGCTACACTGAAACTGCAAATAATTTTCGCGTATATTTTCACAAAAATCTTGAATGAAATAATTGTATCTAGTTATCAAAATATTCAAATGAGGACGCTGAAACTTGCACGATTCGCCCGGTGATTCAATGGTAAAAAGTAACTTTGGTGATTAGATAGTGAAACGTTTTAATTTGGATGAAATTTAATTTTTGTAAAGACTTTTTACGGGTGGTCCTAGGTGTTTGAGCGTTAAGAATTAACGGACCGCGGCATTTTCCAATTTCACTGAAATTTACCTTATGTTATACTTTTACATTTTTTATTTTATTTTTTTCCGGGAACTAACACAAAATAATGCATGTAGAAAGAAGCCCTCAGACTACATGTAGGAAGTAAAGTCCTCTCAACGACGAACGAAAGTCACTTTATTAGTCTGTCATCAAGTCCGTGCTGGTATATGGCGCAGAAATATGAAAAATGACAACATCCCATGCGGCGGCCCTTGGAATGTTAAAGATAAAGATTTGCAGAAGATGTACATGCATGCCTTTCACAGTCATGTGTTTATGGCATAAGAACTAACCAGTTAACAGTCCCAGTAGTTGTCTGTAGTCCCATCTGCTCAATGAAAGTAAATACCTATCGATGCCCTCTGAGATTGAAGGCAACACGAGTTTTTTACATCTGCAAGGAGTACCAGGCCCGAGCCCTCCCAAGTCAAATGTTCAGATGCCTCATTACCAGGTACATAGTTCCGAGTAACCTGGTACCCAGACTGAAACAAGTTTGTTATGGTTTTCAACGTAATTTAATCGAGATTTGCATTGCCGAATTAATTTGGAAATGGAATGCCATTAGCGCAGCTTTGCTGTCACAACAGACACGTAAACTGCTTCTCCCCGAATTTTTGAGCATCACAAAATGTTCGGCTTAAAATACCGAGGTATGTTCTCCAAGAGAGAATTGAAGATTGTCCCCGTTACTTTCGATATAGACGCCAGGTCCTGACCTTGTGACAATTTTGGAGCCATCAGTGGCGTACTATCCTGTTCCATCGAAAATACTTCTTCTTCTTCTTATTTGGCACTGTAACCGCCAAAGCAATTTTGGCCGTGTTCAACAAAGCACGCCAGTCGTTTCTTTTCTGTACCAATTGGAAATGCCAAGTGAAGCCAAGTTCTTCTCCACCTGGTCTTTCCATCTCAGTGGGGGTCTTCCTCTTCCTCTGCTACCACAAGCGGATTCCGAGTTGAATACTTTCAGAGCTGGAGCGTCGGTGTCCATTCGAACGACATGACCAAACCAGCGGAGGCGCTGTATTTTAATTCGCTGCATTATGTCCATGTCGTTGTAAAGCTCATACAGCTCATCGTTCAATCGTCTGCAGTACTCGCCATCGCCAACGCGTAAAAGCCCGCAAATTTTCCGCAAAATCTTTCTCTCGAACACTCCAACGGCCGCCTCATCGGATTTTGTCATTTTCCATGCTTCTGCGCCATATAGCAGCACGGGCATGATGAGTGACTTATAGAGTGTGGTTTTCGTACGTCGAGAGAGGACTTTACTCCTGAATTGCCAACTCAGTCCAAAGTAGCACTTGTTGGCAAGAGTGATTCTGCGTTGGATTTCCATGCTGATATTATTATTGGTGTTAATGCTTGTTCCCTAGTAAACGAAATTCTCTACTTTCTCGAAATTATAACTTTCAACAGTGACGTGGGTGGCGCGAATGTGCTGACTGTTTGTTTGATGACAGGAGATACTTCGTCTTGTCCTCGTTTACCACCAGACCCATTCGCTTTGCTTCCCTATCCAACTTGGAAAAGGCAGAACAGACTTCGCGGTTTTTGTTACCGATGATAACGATGCCATCGGCATAAGCCAGCAATTGCACGCTCTTGTAGTAAATTAGATTAAAGAAGTCACATGAAAGAGAGTCGCCCTGTCGGCGAACGGCTCGGAAAGGTCTTCCCCAATTCTGACGGAGCTGGTGGTATTGCTCAACGTCATTTTACACAGCCGAATCAGTTTGGCGGGGATGCGAAATTCAGACATAGCGGCGTATAGGCAACTTCTTTAGTGCTGTCGAATGCGGCTTTAAAGTCGACAAATAGGTGGTCTAAAAGACATTTCAGTCTAAATCCACACTGCTTAAGACGGTAGGCTAAGCAGTGCACCCAGAGCAGCCCGAGGTGCTTAGGGAAAGCTCCCACACGGCACATTGCGATCGTTATTTGTCGTGCGGCAAGTAGAATTCACACGCTTTTGATTGCTCCAGCACACCACAGATACGTAGCTGATTATGGGTCTTATCAGAGAGCCGTAAATCCAAGGGACTCGTCTAGGTGACAAATCTCAAATGGAAGTTAGTATAAGAAAAATGCACCCCAAACTTTGCGGACCCACCACACGAAACAAGGACTACGCTTTCTGATATACGCTTAGAATGGCCGGACCCGCAACGTATTCAACGAATCCAATTTACCAGCATAGGTAGCATCAATATAAACGCTCTCAACTTCTACAAAAATGTCCAAAGCGAATTATTTCTTAGTGGTTGCATTGCTGATTCTGGCAACAATATTTTGCAGAGCTGTCTCACAAGATTAGACATGTTGATCCAAACGAATGCGCAACTCAACCAATATNCGTGCTGTCGAATGCGGCTTTAAAGTCGACAAATAGGTGGTCGAAAAGACATTTCAGTCTAAATCCACACTGCTTAATAGAGGCACCTATTTCTTTTGAGCCTAAGGTGTTTTTAAGGGCCACTACACGGATATAAATCTTAAGTGACGGTAGGCTAAGCAGTGCACCCAGAGCAGCCCGAGGTGCTTAGGGAAAGCTCCCACACGGCACATTGTGATCGTTCTTTGTCGTGCGGCAAGTAGAATTCACACGCTTTTGATTGCTCCAGCCCACCACAGATACGTAGCTGATTATGGGTCTTATCAGAGAGCCGTAAATCCAAGGGACTCGTCTAGGTGCCAAATCACAAATGGAAGTTAGTATAAGAAAACTGCACCCCAAACTTTGCGGACCCACCACATGAAACAAGGACTACGCTTTCTGATATACGCTTAGAATGACCGGACCCGCAACGTATTCAACGAATCCAATTTACCAGTATAGGTAGCATCAATATAAACGCTCTCAACTTCTACAAAAATGTCCAAAGCGAATTCTTTCTTAGTGGTTGCATTGCTGATTCTGGCAACAATATTTTGCAGAGCTGTTTCACAAGATTAGACATGTTGATCCAAACGAATGCGCAACTCAACCAATATTTTCAGACATTTCAGTATGAAGGACATCATGCTAATGGACCTGAAGCTTTTAGGGCTAGTATAGTACGACATGCGCTGTGGCCGAGTGGTTAGAAGTATGTACTACCACTCTGAAGAACCTGATTCGACACCTGGTCCAAGAGACATCTAAATTAGACAGAGGGTTTTCCGATAGCGCTTCCTTCAGACCTTCAAAACTTTCAAAGGTATTTCTGGTATGAAAAAGCTTCTCATAAAATTCATTTGCCGTTCGGAGATGACCTAAAACTGTAGGTCCATTTGTTACATCATCAAGAGCATGTGCTTGGCCCGCTAAATTCCAAAATTTCCCTATACACATATATAAAAATAGTACCCTGAAACGCAAGCTTGATAATTTCGAGCCTCTCCCTCCTAAATTCCAAATCGGAGTAGAAGCTCGGCCAGATACTTAGTAAAAGTGTAATTTTAGTAGTAAAGACGACGCCATATTTTACTTAAACATTTATTTGTATGATTTTCGTGACAACACTCAATAAGTCTTTCTGACAATCCGCATATAAAAAAGTGCAATTTTCCCCCAGAAACCCATGCAGTTCTGCCGCTACGTATGTTTCTTGGTAAATTTGCTCGTGGTTGGCGAAGCCTTGATGAAGAGATGGCCTAAAAATGAAATAAGTGTGCCAACTAAATATTAATATGTATTTTACGTTAATGTTGTTATTAGTTTTCTTACGTTAATACAAATGTCAGCAGCTCAGTGAGTATAGTGTGATATCTATCGTCAAATGGATGTTGAGCTAATTCACAAACGCTGCGCAGAAGACAGCTGTCATCGAGGCCAAGGCTGTGCAACAGTAAAGAAATAATTCAAATTTAGTTAATTAAAAGGAAGAATGAAAGTAAATTTCGAATAAAACTGAAGAACTTTTCCAACAAGAAATTCAATCTAACAGTTTATTACACTCTATGTACATAGGTCCTTCTTTAACAAATTAATAAAAATCTTTGCTTTTTCAAGTAATGATCGTCTAACTTATAATGATTAAGTTTTGTACAAAAAAAAAAAAAAAACATTTTATTCGAATACCTCTCTAAGTAGTCCTCAATGCCGCGGTAGAGTTCACCGGCTGTTAAATCCATTGGATGCTGATTTTCGCCTAATTTGCGTTTATATTTCTCCAGCCACTGCAAATGCTGTTGTATTTCTAGACTTTCGGTTTGATTATACGCGGCACGTTTCTTACGTTGTTTAGGCTTTGCTATACCTGGCCAAATTGGTATATTATAAAAAGCCGAAACTGTTGGAGGTAGAGCATAGGACATTTGAAAGCACCAATCTATAAGTATACTACGTTCAGGAAGATACTCAACGACTGGATATGAAACTGAGTGAACAAGCTGAAACGGCGAAAGTGATTTCAAGAGTCAATAAACGAAAATGGGCCAAAAACTCGATCAAATGTTAGGCATTTGCCGATCTGTGGTTCCTTGTACATACTTACACCCAAAGTGCTTGATTGTGGATATATTAGGGCGTCTAACCTGCTGGCTTGCAATGTGACGAATGTCAGTAGTATGCTACGCAATGTCATATTGACGATTGAAATGTCTACTGCAAAGTGCAAACTAAAAATGTCGTGAGTATTCTAAATGTTCGTAGAACCAGAATCTATATATTATAATTTTCCGTTGGTGGTAGAAGAAAAATAGAATACTAGAGTATCAAAGATGACTTTACTAATAAATATAAAAATCATACTGATTTAAAGAAGTATGTTAACGAACACTAAATTGGGCAATGTCAATAAAAGTAAACTGTGAAATGAAAAAATGATGGCTCAATTAGTGTCGATCGCCGGTATACTAGGTGCTATAATGAAATAACAAAAAAAAAAAAGAAAAGATGAATGGGAATGAATTTATTTTCCAAATCATTGACCTAAATTAGAGCAAGCGGAAGATTCTATAATGCTGCTAAGTCAGCGATAGACAGAAAGTGCTTTTACTCTGCACGCGCCTAAGCAAAATGTATAGAAAGCTTAAAAGAGTTTTGCCCGCGGGCAAGGCAGCGCCCAACAGTGTGCTAAGTGAGTTATTGTATGTAATATTTTTAAACTACTCAGTCATATAAAACATTTTACAGCAGGTGATATAAATTTTCTCAACGGCCCACAGTTGGTGAAATGGCTTATCCAGCGGAAGAAAATTAATAGGGATCTTCATCTAAAGTGATAAAGGAATAAATTGCTTAAATTTATCAGTTTATGCGAATTCTTTCATGAACACACTTTGATAAATAATTGCATAAAACACTTTTATATGGCTAGTTACGTTTCATTCTTCCCTCGTCCATTGTGTTCATTTGCTTTAATGTGTTCGTAGCAAAAGCGGCTACCTGGCAACCTGTTAGGGTTGAATTTTGCTCAAACTTATACATTTGACAGTTCATTTATCAAAATGATAAATTTATCACTTTATCAAGTTTGTGGGCGGCCGCTGTGGTGTAGTGGTTAGCAGTGCGCGCCACCACTCCGCGGGGTCTGAGCTCAAGCCCGGTTCAACCCAATATAAGAAAAAGTATTTAGGCCATAAAAAATAGCTTCTAATAAAAATACAATCGCCGTACGAAGTCTTTGTAAAACTGTGGGTCCCTCCCCTTTGTGTGACCACATCAAGGCGCTCGCCACAAATCGGAGGAGAAGCTCGGCCAAACACTAACGTATGTGTAAGCGCCAATCTATTATTATTATCAGGTTTGTCAGCAGTTTATCACTTTAGATCAGCCCTGGGCGGCGCCTGCCCGGCGGGCATATTCGCCTATACATACACGCTCTGCCTTAGAAGGCAGCGAACGCTTCATTCAACCATACGACTTGTTCGCACGCACACAGTGACATCAATTGCACGCACACTACAAAAATTCTCTGTCGAAGCTGCCCACCTCCGCTTTACAATTGCTATAAGAAATAAAATTAAATATTGCTCTGTATTTATTACTGAACAATGGAAAAGTTTTCGTCTCGCGGAACGATTATTTTAAGATGTAAATTATTTTCGTCTTCTCATAATAATTATATGGGATTTTTATTTTTTTCGTCTTCGAACAATCTCAAGGGAGGGAAAGAAACAAACGGGTTCGGCAAGTTTTATTAAAACGGGCTTTTTAGGCTTATGTTTGTCTTTGTGCTGTGTGCGAGGGCAGCCACTCTAACCTAACCTAACCTAGAGGGGTGTCGAAGAGATGGAAAGTTTTGAAACTATCCCTAATATTTTCCGGCACTATTTTGAATTATAGATTGCGACTTATAAAAAGCTAAGAAAACACCTTTGATGAGGAATGGTCGTTTTGGCCCCTATTGTAAAGGGTCAGAATAAAAAAGCATTTGGAGGATCGTTTTTAAGTTACTGTAATATAAGAAAATTACAGATGCGGAGGGAATGTCAATTATTTCAGAAATTTGCTGGTGAAGTAAGCATGTGTTCCAAGATCCTGATCATGAGAATTTGAACAGTAGGGAAGCAGTGGACATCATTTATGACTCAGATTCTGATGATAGCGGTGATGGACAAAATTTATTTATGAACAAACTCTAAAAGAAAGCATAACAAGTTTTATTTTTTTTATTTTCTGTCTACCTTTATATTCCTTGTATAAAGTTTTGCCTGAGAATACGATTAGTGAAATTTTCCGGCTAATAATTTTTTAATGATTTTAACCCCTTAGCGACCTCCTAACCCATTTAATTCAGAGACCCCAAAATGGTAAAAAACACCCTTCGTGAAGAGCCAAAAAAATATAAAATTTTACTGTATGTACCCAAACTATATATTTCGATCCGATATGAATTTTAAATTTTTTCCACTTATTCTAAAAACACTCGAGCAAAAAATTGCAAAACTAAAATGGCTATACAAAAAAAAATTTTACATTAGAATGCAAAAAGGTTTGGAGGTTTTATTATATGGGTCTAAATCTTTCATCCTGAGTTGGAAACATTCCACCCCCAGACAATGACCCTGAAATTGTTAAATTGTTGCACAATATAATTTGTCAAATGTACCCAGTCTCGGATTTATGGACACCGCCTTAATTGGTTTACTCAAGTTTTTGCTTAATCATTTATTAAAATAATTTTCGATAGGATGCTCAATAAGTCTCTTTTACAATCAGCATATAAAGCAGTGCAATTCTCGCCTAGAAATCCATACAGTTCAGCTGCTTCGTAGGCTTCTTGGTAGATTTTCTCATGCTCAGCGAAACCCTGATGCAGAGATGGCCTGAAAAAAGAAAAAACAGGAACACAAATTATTTAGGGCCGTTTGCTCAAGTAGCTTTTAAAATTTATCTCCCCTAAATGCAAACATATTTTTTAAGGGTAGATAAATTTTAAATTTTGTTATGTATGTACAAATGTTCCGATATTTTACAGAAATTCTCACTTACGTCAATACAAATGTCAGCAGCTCAGTGAGTATGGTGTGATGCTTATCGTCGAATGGATGTTGAGCCAATTCGCAAATACTGCGCAGGAGACAGGTTTCATGCAGTCCAAAGCTGGAAAGGAGTGTGTTTGTAAGTAACGGGTGATTTTTTTGAGGTTAGGATTTTCATGCATTAGTATTTGACAGATCACGTGGGATTTCAGACATGGTGTCAAAGAGAAAGATGNGGGTGGCTTTGTTTGGAAAGTTGTTATTGAGTTGAACTGATTCTCGATAAAATGAAATAAAAACACAAAAATACTATTATCGAATCAAAACAGTAAAAAAAAATGAGTTTTGAGCTCAGGAAGTGCAAACTAACTCTGCCCTATACATAAATTTCTTGGTACGTTTTCGAGTTGACTATTTGTAAACCAGTAAAAATTTGAAAACCTTCCTATATGTTATAAAAAAGTATACATACATATGTATTAGGGCAGGTCAATATTTATTTTTGGCTATGCGCGCATGGCATAGGAGGATTCTACGTGTAATTCTAAGCAAATTTGCTAAGAAACCATGGGTATAAGATCAATTTTGGAAATCCTGGATTTACATTCAGCCCTTCTTTGACAGATCACTTTTTTTGATACATTCAGCTTGGCTGACTTATAAAAAAAAAACAATGTGGGTTAAAGAAAAAATTTAGCTTTTTTAGCTTTTTACTCTTGCTCAAAATATTAACTGCAAATTTAAATGTTGAAAAGTTTAATGAGCTTTTTAGTGTTATTTATGGAGTTCTAATTTGAAAAATATACCCTCTTAGTATGTATACAAATATTCAAATTCATCCTACTCCTTGCGACGATGAAGTGCAAAAATATCGCATATGTTTGTATTTTCCCTCGTCAGAAAACACAAAGAAATGCTTCTGAGGCTTCGACTTTATCCGATATCTGCGTGGGTCGGCTGGTTTTTGTGCTCTACCGACACTGAAATCAAATATCTGATTTGTTAATTTAGCTATTGTTCCTAGTCATAACTTAAATTTTGATTCAGCTTATTTTAGCTTTATTTTTCTTGCCCATTTAGCATTTGAAAGAGTTCTGGCAACACTGCACGCACTACAGTTGTGCGAGAAAATTTTAGTAAACTGCCATTTGAGAGTTCTTACTGAAAATGAAATATTTAGAGATGACTTGGAATAAAAGCATCGATTCAATCTCAACTGGTCTGGTAAATAAGATCTGAGCCAGTAGGTATCGCGGTCAATCAGAGGAAACTATGAGCAGCACTTGTTTTTTTTTATCATCAGGACTATTGCGAACTTGCCCTGCTAAAGTCTTTAGTGTAATTACTACCGCTCATCTCTATTCAAGTATTCTTTTTTTCTTCTAAAAATCGTTATTCACATCAGACCCAAATTAAAAAAAAAAAACAGCCAAATTTGTTTTCCACGCATCTTTTACAAAAAGCAAAACTTATTTACAAAAACCAAAATTATTGAAATACTTGTGTGTACAATCACATATTAACTTTTTATATGTATTTTATATGCATTCATTTATTAATTTTTGTCGTTCAGTATGCAATAATACTTTTTGTAAAGAAGAGATTTGTTAATTTCTAATTAAAAAAAAAAAAAACAAACAAATCAGAGAAAAAATTGCTTAACTACCAAATTCGAAAAAATAAAACAAAAACAACCAAGTTTGTTTGGAAACAACCAACACTGCCAACCGTGCACGGATTTAAAAAAAAAAATTAATTGTAGTAGATTTTACATACATATTAAAAAATAGTAGAAGTTGGTAGATTATTTAAAAGAAGTATTAATGATAGTGTCCACTCGTTTAGGATAAATCAAGGCGAATNTTCGAAAAAATAAAACAAAAACAACCAAGTTTGTTTGGAAACAACCAACACTGCCAACCGTGCACGGATTTAAAAAAAAAAATTAATTGTAGTAGATTTTACATACATATTAAAAAATAGTAGAAGTTGGTAGATTATTTAAAAGAAGTATTAATGATAGTGTCCACTCGTTTAGGATAAATCAAGGCGAATTTAAGGTGGTGTTACCACAGCAGCTGAATTTTTGCGTCGGTGGTTATTAATGTCAAAACCTACACATAAAACTGGGCCCGAATCACGGCATCCGAAATCAACTGAAATAAAATGGCAGCTGTTTTCTCTCCAATAAAATTAAAACTGAAAGAGGGAGTTCACTACCGAATGTCGTAATCTTAAAAACTAATTTTGATCACGGATGCCGTGATTCCGGTCCTGGATTAATTTAATAGTAGGCTTCAACAATTACTCTCCACCACAATTTTTTTTATTAAAAGAGATTTGAAGTGTTTGAAATTTGCAACCCATAAGTTGAGGCCACTGCACAAACATAGCGCAAACGAAAAATATTTACATAACCAAGAGATGCAATTTCACTTTTCAATTGGTTACGGTTAGAGGTAACTTTTCATTTTTGTTCTAGGTGTGTTTGATAACAAAATATTTATATACCGCGTTCGTTTAAATCTCTTTTCTCACTTTCCGGAAAATATTGATAGATTTTTAGACTTTGCTGCTAAAAATGGTACAAAATAATTTATAGAGCTAAAAAGTGGGTAGATTTACCAATAAAGTGGTGAAGTCCGTGCACTGTTTCACATACCTAGTGAAGTAATCCACTAAGCCGCGATAGAGTTCACCGGCCGTCAAATCCATCGGATGTTGATTTTTGGCTGTTTTGCGATTATATTTCTCCAACCACTGCAAATGTTGCTTAACTTCTGGACTTGCTATTCGTTATGCGAGGCACGCTTCTTACGTTGTTTAGGATTTTGTATACCTGGCCATATTGGTATATTATAAAAAGCCGAAACCGATCCAGGTAGTGTGTAGGACATTTGAAAGCACCAATCTATGAGTATACTGCGCTCTGGAAAATATTCGACGATAGGATATGAAACGGAGTATATAAGCTGAAAAGTGATGCGACGTTTATTAAAATTATTGTTTATTTAAAGGCATAGAAAATAAGTTAGCAGCAGTAAATGTGTAACACGAGATGTTGTAAGTGAATTACGGCTAAGCTGGTTGATTGATTGGGATAAATCAAAGCGTCTAGCCGGCTGACGGATACGGTTGTGAATATTAAAAAAATACTTTGCGGAGACATTTTCACGATTGAAATCCCTGTTGTGAAGTACAAAATAAGACTAAAACTGTGTGCACGAAATACTGATTCAGTAAGACCGACTCTAGTTTGCCGTTTCTTAAAAAAACTAGGCTATTGGAATATTAAAGATGACAATTGGTTTTAAATAGCATTTATTGATAACTCTATTAACGACTGATTGTGGGAGAAATATCAACGAGTTGTAAATGCGTAATGTCAATAATAAACAGAGAGAAGAAGAAGTAATGATGATGGCCCAATTAGTGCTATGATGAGGTGAAAAAAATAGAAAAAAATATTAAATAAATAACTAAAAATAAAAAGTGTGTAAGAGTAAATGAGTTGAATCCAGAGCACGCGATCATGTTGTCTGCTCTACGCTACTAAGTGAAAGGAAATGCAATAAATTTTGTTGGACTGCTTGGCAGTTTCAAGAGCCTCACAGCAAGTAGTAATAACTTTCTAGTCATTCGAAAAGTACGCTTCGCAACTGGGCTCGAATAAAAAAGAAAACGAAATGAATTTTAAACGTTCGTTCGCATTGGGGCACACATTCGTATTCCTACTCTTTGCTGTGATCAACGCTGAGGTTGGTAGCCCTCGTGAAGTCAGCTACACCAATTCATCAATGCACTCCACTACAAAGGAAATATATTCCACCAACGTATTGAGACCGAAAGCTAATCCTTCAAAATCCAGTGCATCGAACAGCTACAGCGATGACACCGGTACAACAACGCTACGCCCCGCCGTGGAACGTATTTTCTCACGCAAGAAACGCTTTCTGCTTGCACCGCCCGGTACGCGTCTCAAATTAACGCTGCAAATGAGCAAAAAACTACTCGCCAACTATCCGACGGGATTCACCTTCAATATCGAATTGGCCGTGTACTATCCCATGATTACCAGTCGCCTAGACTTGATACCCAAGCGTTTGCGTCCGACAACAACTGCGAAACCTAAAGCAAAGGGGCCAACTGCTCCTTTGATCGTGCAGATTCCTGGCTCACTGATACGTTACAAAGCAAAACCGGCTACCAAACCGCCTCTAGTGCAGCGCATTGACGAGTCTGGCCAAATGCTGCAGTGGGTGGACACAAAGCCGGCGCCGCCCACCTCAACTGTCTCACAATATTACACGCAACCGCTTAAGTGGCAGCAATGGTCCAAATATGGCGCACCAGGCTATGCGCAGCGTTACGAATGGACACCGGCAAAACAGTGGCCGCAAAAGCAGCCCGCTTGGTTGGCGCAGAACTCTAAGTGGCGTAAGTGGTCCACTACGTCTGCGCCGTGGGCGGCGAACAAGCGGTGGCAGCAAAAGCCTAGCAAATGGCAGCAATGGGGGAATGCGCCTGCTACTGGCGGCAAATGGTTGAAACATGCACATTGGCAACGCGACGCACCCATGGATGGGTTAGCAAATATCAGTGAAAATGATGTTGTGAAACGTGACGTGGATGGTGGAGCGGAGAGTGCAATCAACTCGGATCAATTGCTAGATGAACTAGATGAAATAGAGCCCATGTATGTACATTTCCCTGAATTGGAGGAGCATTATGAATGGAAACATTATCACAGCTATCGTGATCGTAGGCAATTGTACCATCAGCTAGATGGACTGAGTGGCATGTGAGTTTGTTTTTAAAATGCTAATTATTAACCGCCATGCAGTTAGGAAAGCTACATTTATGCGTAAAATATTATCGTTTCTATGTCATTTGTGCTACAATTGTCTAGGTGGTTCCGTTTAGACCATTTTGGGCGTTTACCCAGGAATTTCCCCACTTCATGTCTCTCTGTATTCAAAGGCCCTGTGCTGAAGATCTTATAGCTTAAGGGTCGATTACACAGGCCAACAAAAATGGGGAAAAATTGATGCGGCAAATGTTAAAGCTGTTTTTGGTAGACTTTTTTGTATTGATTACGAATCCGTAAGTATTAAGTTCCCATCAGCTCCAGATTTTGAGAAAATCGAGGTAAAAGTGTCAAAAATCGTAGCAAAGAAACAAAATATGATACAACCTTCCATTTAGGCTTAAATTAAAGCTTGACAATTGTCCCTGAAGATACCATCCCTGTAAACCTGACCTTATCACTTATAGTAATTTATTAAACAGCGAAAAGTGATTTTGGCGAAGTTTGAGTGATTATCGCAATTAAAAAAGGTTATAGAACCTTTCACTGGAGTTTATGAAAATTGTATACTTACGGATTCGTAATCAACACAGAGAAAGCTATAACATTTGCCGCGGCAAAATTAGTATTTTCCTGAGTTAAGGATATACATACATATGTATACAGATATAATATAGTAAACGTACATACATATATATATTTCTACAGAATGCTACATATTCTTATAATACTAGATATACTTCGTTCGAAAGTAGGATTCTTTCCTTATCTATTGAAATAATTCCTTGTCTATTGTCAGCATAAATTATCTAAAAAATAGCACTTTAAAAACATGCTTTTATTTAACATGAGCATTCCAATGAATAAAATAAATGACGAAAGATTTTTCAGAAAAAACATCTTTTTAAAACTGCACTAAATTTAATAAAATTAAATATTAGAATTAATATAAACTATTAACACCCCTATTGCGAGTGTCGACAAGTAAATAGTAAAAAAACGACTATTATTCGATGTATATTTCTCGTTCAATAAGAGACTGTGAATATTTTAAGTCGCTCATCCTTCTACAACTGTTTGTTTTTAGAAGGATGAGCGACTAAAAACTATTCACCTACTCTCGTTTCTTGAACGAGAAAAAAGATTGGTAATACCGTGGATAGTCGATAATCGACTAAGAGTCATTTATCTACTACTAGTCGACACTCGCAATAGGGGTGTAAAACTAAAACAAGAACGAGTACTAGCTGCCAGGTCCTATAACTCGAGAGTTTTACAAAAGAAATCTGTGTTATACTTAACAAACACATTATATTACATCATTTAAAAAAGGGATCGCTGGATCCGAAGTGCTTCTTCCTTTCCACAAAACGGGCAATGCTGTTGGGCGCATCCTGTAAGGAGGTGTTGGGGCTTTAGTTTGGTATGTCCGATTCTAAGCCGAGTGTACCGGCTAGTGAAATGCCGAGACGTATTGCTTGAGTGTTAGTGTTGCCAGAAATAAATATCCATTAAGGAGTAGAATCTCCAGAAGAAAGGCTAGAAAGAGCTAAATAAAAAATTTTAGTGATAAGAAAGGGCTAGTTTCATTATTCATCTATTGAACATTTTTCATTTATTTTAGAATGAATTTTCAAAATTTTATTTCTTTAGGTACATACGCACATACAGTTTTCATTCTAAAGAAACATTCTGAGCTTAAAATCGCTAAAAAGAAAACATAAAAAATAGATCCATTACGAATTCATTAATTACACTTGTTTACATGAAAAAGGACTTCGCTAAAAAGCGTTTTTTGTTTAGATTAATTTAGGATCGCTAAACATAAATGTAAGTCTCATTTATTTTCGTAAGGAAGCGAACCTCTTTTCTGGGTCTTGTGCAGTTATTGCAAAAAAAAAACTCGAGAAAAGCGAATACAACAATCTTCTTTGATTACCTTTCGAAATACATATTAAGCCCCATTACGTGATATATTTTTTGTCTCAGTCGGAATAGTACTTTTTGAGTTTTTCGAAAGATAAACAAATTTTCAAGATATTTCGAAAATTGTTCATTTTACGTTTTATATTGTATGTGTGTTATATCATGATATTTTTTTCAATTCATCCCATCTGATCTCAGCTCACCTCACTTATACTTAGGCCAACCCACCTTACCCTAACTCAATTTACTCCAGCTCACCTTAATCATCTCACCTTACAAAACTCACCTTATCAATCAAATTACTCAACACAGTGTTATGTTATGCTAAGTCCAGTCGATCGAAACATACAACTATTACGATTATGGAACAATTAAAATATTAATCCAGAGAAATTTCGCCTGCGTAGCATGGCACAGACGCACTCATTCTTTTTAGAAGATTTAAGTCCAGCACTATTTGTCGTCTTAAGCGATCAATTTAATTACCTCAGTTATACAAAACATTCTTCCATTTACTCCACAGTCTTGGGATCGACTTGAAATCCTGTGTTTTGCGCGCCATCTGTGATTGTAAACGCTTTTTGCTACCGCCAGGATACTCAATGGTGCAGGATATACTACGGCAAATTTTTACGTAAGTATTTATGTAAAATAAAGATTTAATGAAATTAGATTTGAAAAAGTGCGAAGTATAAACGGTTAAATTAAAAAAATGTAAAGAAGAGGATTCATTTGAATTCGAAAATGGGCATATTTTTTTGCTAAAAATTTTAACAGTTCAGTAGGGGCGTCAACACACTTTCGAAATTTAGTAAGCCAAGGCTAAGATAATTTTTTAAAAGTGTTTCTGTTTTTTCATCGGTTAAAGTCTCTTCTACTTCTATTAAATTATTAAAACTTGTATAAAATATTGCTCTGAGTTTCTGGTTTCCAAACGTCAAGGGACGCGCACACAGAGCGCTTGTAACTTAAATTTTAAGATGAACTTATTTAAGCAGAAAGTTGGAACTTTTTTCAAGGTGGGCACACAGACAGAAAACCCGTACTGAGAAACAAAAAAAAAGTGGAAAAAATTTGAATGAAATAACCCGGTCAAGTTAGACATTCAAGGTTACGTAATTTTCGTCTAAACACTTTCAACGTCATTCTTGACAACCTCGGTTCTGAATTGCGGAAGAAATGTGAAGCATATGAAAGGATTCACGAAAAACTTACAGTTATTACTGAATTCGGCAATCTAAATTTCAGTGAACTACCTAAAAGATCAGAACGTTTAAGAAAAATGTATAACTCTGACTTGGAATCTTTAGTGGACGACGAATTTGTGCACTTAAACGCGTATTGCTCTGAAAAAAAGTTCGACCGTAATTCTCCATCCGACCTTTTGAAACTCTTACGGACAAACGGGTTATACTACCTAAAAGAGGAGATAGCATATAGAATATTCATCAAATCAGCTATGGCGAACTGCAGCGCAGAACGATCATTTTCATGTTTGAAAAGGGTCAGTAACTATTTACGCTCAACTATGAGCCAATTTACACGACGACTTTTCACCCTGCATTTTTTTGCACTTTCTCTTTTATAAAGTCTTCGAAAATCTTCGTGCATTTACACGATGACTTTTTCTTGGTGGCGCTTCTTGCCATTTAAACCTTAAATTGTCTTGGGTCTATTCTTTCGTTCTCATTTTTAAAGCGGAGCGAATGGCGAACTCAAAGTAAAAATACGAAAAAGGGAATTCGATAAAAGAGAAACGTCAAAAAACCCCTCGAATTCGTTGACCGTGCGTGCATGCCTACCCCGCTGACTTCCTTACACTTCTTGCCTACAAGCGCGAAACGCATGCCTCTATGAGGGCAAATCGACTTAGGGCCGGTTATTCATTGTGTGGTTATAACTAGATCCCAGTTAAATAATATTATTGACGATTTCGACTTCATTAATATGTTACCTGCCAAACCCGATCCTAGCTTGTCCTAAAATCGGGTTTGGCTGGTAACAGATATAACATGTGAACGATAAAGCAGTCGTTGTATTTAACCGGAGTTTCCACCTCAGATTTGTGCTAACCAGACATTGAACAACCGGGCCTAAATATCTTAGCTATTCTGTGCATTGAGTCGGATTTACTCTAACGCTTGGAAGCTGTGAAGATTTGAGCGATCAGTTTGCGGAAAAAGTAAGATATATTTGCATTTAAAAATATGTATTAGAACTCACAAGTGTATGTAGATATGATTATTGTCATACAATTAAACATTCAATGAATTGAACCACATGTTTGGCATTTACTTATTTCAGTTGTGAATGGTATACGCAAAGATTTTTTTTCATATATTTTATGTAGGTTAAAGATAAATGGGCGGCATTTTAAGTAAATCCGGCCCTGCACCTTTTGCTACAATTTTGAATCGCTCTATCTCAGAAATGGTAATCCTTAGGAAGAAACTTTTATAAAAGTTTTTATATATAGTTGTATGATCTACACTTTCGTCCCACCTATTTTTATGATAAATCTTACCGTTTCGCTGAAAAATGCAAAAATCGATTTATGTGACATTTGACCTTGAATAACTTTTTTTGCAGACGTGGGATCGGTGGGAACTATTGACATTTCATTTATAATCGTGTTCGCAACATTCGTATAAATTTTTAGCTTTATACTAGGTTCACATATAAGTAGATTATCCTCATTTTCGAGCTTAACACCCTAATCTGTAATTATAACAAGAGATTATCCATATAAAATTCGTCCCTTGTTAATCTGTAATTATAAAATAATCTCAGATTTAACCGATAACTTTTCGGTGTCCGTCCTAGTTTTATCGATTGTTTTTGCGAAAGAGAGAAGAAATGCCAAATGTAAAAGTAAACTAAAATGTACGCTAGCAAGTAAAAGAGGTTTGTAAAGGTATTTTTAATAAAATGTTAAGTTAAAATATATTTATATTGCTTATTATAGCAGAAAAACGTGATCACGGTGGCACAGAGAAGAAACATAACTTTTCCTTGAGATGTGAGAATAACAAGCACAACAAATTTGACGGCTAATAATCTGAGATTTGCCTGTGTAAACGGGGTGATTAAAAAACGAGCTTTGATTGAGATAATATTGATATGTGAACATAGTTTTATGCGAATTATTGTAAGCTCACTCCAACTTTTTGAGCTAACTTTTCATATTTTTTCTGCGACTTTCTGATTTTTTTTTTATATCCGAGCGCACCAGTGCACAAGGGTATTATAACTTTGTTCACATAACGGTTGTTTGTAACAGCCAAAACGAATCGAGAAGTACTGAAGCTTATTCACTTATAATTGATATTTAAAACAATTTTTAGACGAAAAATAAGAGTATTATAAATTATTGGTAAATGGGAAAAGCCACGCCCATTTATGATTAGATTTCTTCCAAACTTGGCACAGCAGGCCAACGCCTTGAATTTTTTTAAAATCGGACAATAACCACGCCCACATCCCATATAACGGTAATTTAGAGAAATACGAAATCGTCGATAAATCAGTAAATACTGAAGCTAATTTATTAAAAATTGATGTTTGCGATAACTCTTTAGCAAAAAATACCTTTATGATAAAATTTTGGAAATTTGGCGGGGCACCGCCCACTTATGACCACATACATACATATATGTATCACGTTAACCGTTCCATCAATTTGTACCAAACTCGGTGGGTTCTCAAACATGATCATAATAATTACAATCTAAAACATTGATTCAACACAACCTGATAAACGTTAATACTTACAGCGCTTTTAAGCTTGCCTATATATGTATATGTCTACAATACATAATTTCATCTGTAACTTCAGTCATAAACAAGCTGTGCTCCCCGACGATAACAGTATAAACAGAACATATGTAGTAATGTTCTTTTGTTTTATTTTTTTACAGCTTTCCTACCAAAAGTGGCCTAGAAGATGAGTACAGCCGCATAGTGCAACTGGATTATGAGAAATGCGATAGTGAACTGAGATCAGCATGTCCTTTTAATTTGCTTGCCTGGCTAATGCGACAGAATCAAGATTAAAAAAATATGCCGTATTTAACAAAAGATTTGTGATGACCCAAATAAATATGAATTGCTAAAAAAAAATCGCTCTTTAAATATTTTTCATTAAATAAACCATGTATGTATGTAAATATATTTTGCTCCTATTTATTTAACTCATTTCACAAATTCCGTCTCCCACAGTGATTGCTCGCAGAGTGCGTACTGTTTGTTGCAGCTACCTTCAAAACCATTGGCACGGTCATAGCGTTGATCTTTGTAGTGTATGCGATTTTCTAATAAGTCCTCATCTAATGCTTCGGGCACTGTAAAAACTGCACGCATTATTTCACCAACAAAAGTGCCAGGACTACGTTCTTTGGATTTTTGTCCAGTCTCACAGAGGGCGCGCAATATGCACTGATGGCTTTTCTTAATGCCAAGTCTGTAACATGGAAAAAATATTAAATTTATAATGTATTTGGCAAGGAGTGTTGAATTATAAATAATTATTCTGCTTTATCCTGAGTTTCGCCCGAAAAAAATTCACATGGAAACCAAGTGTGAATAGTGAACCGATTCGGGGAAAATGAAACTCATGATAAGGCTGATTGTCTTTTCTCCTTTCTATTTTCATTTTCCTTTATCTATAGATACATCATCCTAAATACTGGATACAAAAATACTTGGTAATTTAGAAACGATGTTTATATTTTCGAGACTATTTCGGATGCTTGGGACTTCTTCTGGATTTTCGGCGCTATTTCAGAATTTTCGCTGTTATTATTAATTTTCGAGATTTTTCGAGTTCTCGAGACTATTTATCGGGACTATCTCGAGATTTTCGGGACTGTCTTGGGATTTCCATATTCTCTGGTCTATTTAGTGACTTTAGGGGCCTCTTCGGGAATTACCGGATCTTTGAGGTTCTGCGGACTATTTCTAGAATTTCGGGACTGTATAGAAATTTTCGCGACTATCTCGGCATTTTTGAATTCTCTGGACTATTAAGTGATTTTCGGGGCCTCTTGGGATTTTCTCCCGCTATTTCGCGATTACTTCGAGATTTTCGGGGTACCTGAAATCTTCAAATCAGGGTATTTAGTGTCTACTAAATACTTTGAATTTTTGTACTTACATCTAAATAGCAACTCCAAAATATCTAAAAGCTTAAACAGACGGCAGCGTTGACCGAAATTAACTGGGACTTAATCCGGATCAACTGCAGTTAATTCCCGAGTTGATTTGGATCAACGCTGCCGTCTGTTTAAGCTCTAAGTCTGTTTTGTTTAAGTATTTAGCAAGTATTAAACAGTTAAGTTCTTTTTGATTGAGTATTTAGACATCCGCAAATACTCAGTATTTAGGTATTTAGTACCCAAACTTGTACTTTAAGTACAAAAGTACTTAAGTATGACCATCACTGTATTGTACCTCCCTTTTATCTTATTGAACTTCTTTGAAATCTTTACAAACTTGCTATTTTGTAAATCCATCAATTCGATGTCAGTCCTAATCGTTTCTTTAGTAGTTCTTTATCTCACCATAAGTACTTGATACACTATCTCTCTACCACTTTATTTGCTGTTGCTTTTTGTGTCAAAATGTTCTGCACACGCTTATCCCATGTAATTGTTTTAAGTAATTGAAGATATTCATTGCTGTTGCAATTTTGCTCAGCAGCAAGTGGCTTTAGCAGCTGTCGCTTTTTGTATCATTTCGCATATCAATGTATGTATGTACTTTTGTTCTTTGCACTTAAAATGCGAAATGCAAAAGATTGTTTGTACTTAAATGTCAGCTGCATGACTGTTGGACTTTGAGTGCAGATGTGGCAAGTTGCTTATCAGCTTAACTGTTGCTGCATGACAATGCATGAACTCTTTGAACGAAAAGCGTTGCAAATAAGCGTGGCGTAAAAGGTTGTGTATGTATGTATGTATGTATGTGATAGCGACACTTTACTTTTAACAGAAATAGTTGCATAATTGGCCCTGAACGGAGTGGGAAAGGACACCAACTGGTGGCAATTAACACTTTTTAATAAAAAAGATTCCCTGCTTAATTCCAACCTAAACTGGAATCTTAAACCTTTAATATTTTTGGAAACTGATGAATATTAAATGATTTTGCGCTTTCAAAAATTTCAATGGTGAAGATGAGTCTTGTGCGAATAGGCCAATTGATGAAAGAATTTGCGAGATTCTTCAAAAAAAAAAGTTGTTTAAACTAGTATATGTATTTCATTTTATGACATCGCTGGGGATCTAAACGTTGACAAAAAGTATTTACTAAAAATATTTTGAAGCCTTAAATAAAGCTGAATGCCAAAATAGGCTCGCTATAAACTAGTTTCCATATGTTAATCACTCCTGGGAGAGAAAGATTTTGCGAAAGATCTACGGACCTTTACGCGTTGGCGACGGCGAATACAGCAGACGATGGAACGATGGGCTGTATGAGCATTACAACGACTTGGACATAGTGCAGCGAATTAAAATGCAGCGACTCCGCTGGCTTGGTCATGTCGTTCGAATGGACACCGACGCTGCAATTCTCAAAATGTTCAACTCGGAGCCCGCTGGTGTTAGCAGAGGAAGGGGGAGGCCTCCACTGCGATGGAAAGACTAAGCGGAGAAGGACTTGGCATCACTTGGCATTTCCAATTGGTGTCCGTTGGCACAAAATAGAAGAGACTGGCCTATTTTGTTGAACTCGGCGTAAATCTCTTAGCCGGTTACAGAGCACAAGAAAAAGAATGAATCCTGCAACGAAGCGAAATTAAGCCGTGCTTAGAACGAATGATTACGAGCAGTGTAAAGTGAGCAATAACGGCAAAAGTCCCGAAAAGTGAAAATGTAGGTCACTCCATTTCTGTGACATCATCAACGCATGCACCGCAAATGGAGGAGAAGCTCGGCCAAACACTTAGTAGAATATATGAAGCTGCAATTTGTTATTGTTGCTGTTGAATTTCTTGATATATTTGTTATATGTTTGAGTGCTAATGCATTTGATGTTAACTGATATGTTGATACAATCAATTTTCGCTTTGCTGGCAAGCATTCTAATTCCATGCAGATTTTCTGAGAAAGAATGGGTTTACATACACTCCGTTTCACTTCAACAGGAGCATTTATTTATTTTTTCAAAAACCAAGTTTATACCTTCATTTGTAGGCATTGTAGTCCGGTCAATTTAGACATTCGAGGTTACAAAAATTCCCACCCAGCTGAAAATTGGTAGGATTGTTCAAAACACCATCATAAATGAAATCTAAAAAGTCCTCATCGATCCGATACCTGGAAAAAAAGTTATTCGGCGAACTACTGTGAATGGAAATCATGTTATGGCATATACCGATGACGTCTTCATCTAGGAGTGTCCACTGGATCTACACGTCCTACCCTTAATAATTCAATAGCGCTTAAACAACTCCAAAGGTTTCAAAGTATTCAATAGCTTTGCATAAGCGGATATCGCTGCGCTCCACCTATTGAAGCCTTGAATGCGATTCCACAACTATCCTCTTTGACTTATAGCTCGAGCGATAGTCGCTATTGCAGCCCTGAAATCTATACCATTTCTACGAAAAGTTGTTTTTTGTCCATATAAAATACTACATGGAAAATTGTGAGCGCTTTGAGCACTCCATAAATATTTTTTTTGATTAAAAAAAAAAAAAAAAGATGGGATATTTTAGTTTGGTATAGAAGAATCCTATGGCGGCATTAAATTCCCCACTTTTTCTTATGCATTTTTGGACCACCCTAGTGTACAAGCATCCTATCACATATGTACGTACATACATGTGTATTTTGAAGTTTGTCTTTTGTCATTTGTCTGCTGTGAAATTTTACAAGATAGTTATTGCTGCTGACATATCAGATGCTGTGAAGCGATGAAAATGTGAAGAACAATCAGAATTTTTTATGCACATACATATGTACATATGAATGTATATATGTATGTATGAACGTACATATCAACCCATGCCTGATTTTATATCACTAAATGCTCTGAAATGCAATCTTAGGTGCATCAGCATCATTTACATATGTACAAATGGATTTGTAGAATTGTGTAGTCGTACAGTTACATATAATCTTTTCAAGCGAAAGAAAATTGAAATTGATTGGCAATTTCGTAGATAGAAT